AATGATCCTTGGGGGTCCCTCCCAGCTCACAGTATTTGATGATTCAATGAGATGTCTCAGCAGGTCTGAGTGCTCCCTGCTCGGTGCTCTCTCCCCAGAACAAGGGCTGAGTTTTACGCCAGGTCAGGCAGAACAAACCCCCTCTGTCATCTTTCAGCTGTGGGATCAGAGGAAGGAGCAGGGCAGCTTTCCCGTGTTCACGGAGCGCTCCGTGTCGCGCTCTGGGGCAGCAGCAGGCGCAGGCTGCCCGAGCTGCAGGGCGTTTTGATGAACGTGCAGCCATCTCACACTTGTCAGTAACCCCCGGAGACTCTGAGTCAGTGAAGTGCTTTAGCAGAGTGTTCTCGTGTTTTTAGAGGACAGTGGGGAGGATAAAGAACTCTTCACGTTAATTTCAATTGTAATTTCTTTATGGCATAACTCGTGTCGCTCGTTTCCCTGCAGGGTACAAGGCCACCATCAGCGCGCCGCACATGGTAAGATGGAACCTCTCCCTTTAACAGAAATTGTTTGTTTGCCATTTTTCATTTTATGTTCTCTTTTTCTTAAAGACCAAAGTAGAAAGGTGGAGCAGATCCCACGGACACGATGCTGCTGCTTGTTTCTTTAGGCTCTGTACATGGGAAGCTTTTTCCTTTTGAAGAGTTGCCCCTGTACTCTTTAAGTTGCTTGGACAGGAGTTCTGTGCAGCTGAGGCTAATCATTAATGTCGCTTAATTTTTGCAAGAAACCTCTTTTCCTGCTGCTTCACATCTCATTATTGAGCCTTTTCCTAAATGCTGTTCTGCAAAAAGGTGTCCCAGATCAAACACTTGAATTTCCCTCTGAACATGTGAGGCAGAGCACCAGGTGTGCTGTGTTTAAGTCGGAGCAGATAATGCTTAGGACAAGAGAAAGCATTTGGAGAGGAAACTCAAGCGGGAAGTCTCACCCCTTGGGCTGTTTGTTCCCCACGCAGCACGCCCACGCGCTGGAACTGCTGAAGGATCGCCTTGTGGAGGGTGCCAAAGCGCTGGATGTTGGATCTGGAAGCGGGTACCTCACAGCTTGCTTTGCCAGGATGGTAAGCTCACAGGACTCTTGCTTCTAGGTGTCAAGCTGGCACCTGCTTTTTGTGGGGAGAGGAGGAGGTGGGAGGAAGGGGTAACCTCATCCCAGAGCAGCCTGTAGTAAATAAATGCAGTCATTTTTGGACTCTAACCGGATGCTGTGTCTGCCTGAGATGTTTTGTGTGCTGAGGAGTGTGTTCATCCACTGTCCACATCCATCATAGGTTCTTTTTCATTTGCTTCTTGAGTAGTCACAGTCTGTTTCTTTGATTTCTAAACTCCTGGAATTATTTTCTGTGAAGTGCTGGAAAGCTGGTCAAGTTGCTCTTCTCGAGAGGTTGGTTAGTCAAGAACTGGCCCTGCCACGGAAGCTGCTAGTTCTCCCAAAGAATTATTTCTTTAGAAATGAGGGATTACTAGGAATCTCTGTGGGCAGTGCCTGTGTGTCCCTCAAGTAGCTGATGCAACTGGGATACTCAATGTTAAAACCAAGGGGCAGAGTATTTGCACCTCCTGTGCAGAAACTCTTATTTGTTCCTGGAAACTCTCCACTCCCCACAGTAACTGGCCTTATACAACACATCTCTCTACCACATGGGAGGAATTAGGTGTTTATCTGCTGTTCTTCTTTTCAGATGGGGCCAACAGGGAGAGCTGTGGGCGTAGAGCACATCAAAGAGCTGGTACAGGAGTCCATCAGAAACGTCCAAGAAGACGACCCAACGTTGCTCAGCTCTGGCCGTGTAAAGCTTGTGGGTGAGCTCCCTGGGATCCTGGTGCTCTCTCCCCTGAGGGCGTGAGCTCTGCCTGCCCACAGAGCTCTGCTGCTCGAAGCAGTCGTCGCTGTTCGTGCTGATGCTTGCCACGGTGTTGCCAGAAACCACTGGCTAAGGAAGCACCGTGCCACATCGACCTGAACACTATGGTGTAAACAAGTAGTATTTAATGTTACAGGCAGTGTTCCCCTTACTCCCAAGTGTGTAGTGGTGACCTTAGTTCCATAAGAGACACCCCCCCTCAGAGCAGAGCGGTTGTGCCACAGCGGGGGTTTAGTTTATTCAAGTGGGTCTGCACACATGGCTGTGTTTTTTGGGGGGACAGCTTGAGTCAGCTCTTCCTGTATCTGGCATCTTGAGTCTGCACAAAGCCCTCCTGGCTTTGACTGTTCCTTCTCCTAACGTGGCTCACTGCCAGAAATCTCTCCTCCTTTTTAAAAAGTAAACCAACAAAATTCAAATTCCCGTTTTCATCACCTAGATTTCAGCTGAAAGGATGTAGGAGGAATGACTTCTGCGTGGAGTTGTGATCTGATCAGAAGTCTCTTCTGCATCTTCTTCCTCCTGTAGTTGGAGATGGCAGGCAGGGATACCCTGACGAGGCTCCTTACGATGCCATTCACGTTGGAGCAGCAGCAGCAACAGTACCGAAGGAGGTAAGAGGGATCAGGCTGGGTGTCTGTGCTGTGGGCTGCCAGCAGCAGCAGCTGGGAAAAACTAATACTTGCAGAACCATAGAATCATTGAATGGTTTGGGTGGGAAGGGACCTTAAAGCTCATCCAGTCCCAACCCCCCTGCCAGCAGCAGGGACACCTTCCACTAGACCAGGTTGCTCAAAGCCTCATCCAGACTGGCCACAAACACTTCCAGGGAGGAGCAGCCACAGCTTCTCTGGGCAACCTGGGACACTGTCTTACCACCCTCACAGTGAAGAAAAGTCTCTGAAATGTATAAGCTTACTCTTAATGATTGCCTCATTTCTCTGGAAAAATTAAAAAAGTTCAGCCATTATACAATCAGTACCTCAGTCTGAAGCTTTAAGAAATAAATGAACCAGGACAAGTTTAACTAAGAAGGAAAAATTATTCTTGAAGCAGGAAGCAGATGAGCACTTGATTAGCTTTAAGGAAATATGTTATTCCCACAGATGTCAAGAAACTGCAGAAAATTAAGCCAGTAACCACTGGAAGCTTCTTTTTTCTGTCTGTTTTCCATGGAGCTGGCAAGCTTGTGCTTTTCAAGGTGTTGTGACTTTCAGAGCGTTGGTTATTTCTGTTGTGTCTCTGGCTCTGCTGATTGGGATCTCTCTGCTTGCCAGCTGCTGAATGAACTGAAGCCGGGAGGTCGGTTAATACTGCCCGTTGGTCCCGAAGGCGCCAACCAGGTCCTGATGCAGTACGACAAAACCAGCGAGGGGCAGATCATCGAAACCCAACTGATGGGCGTGATCTACGTTCCTCTGACAGATAAGGAGAAGCAGTGGCCTCGGTAAAGATTTCCTCTCCCTTGAGGAACGTTCCTTCCTCGCAGCTGTCCCTGTGAGCTTGCTCTCCTTGGCTGCTGGCTTTACTGACAGAGTCCTGGATTCCTAGCAGACGCTGCTTGTAAAAAAAGAGAAGAGGCTTGGCTGTGGTGAGGCACAGCAGGAGAGCAGGAGGTGTTTTCTGGTAGATAGGGCTTGCAGACTGAGGACTCAAGCTTTTTCCTTTTTCCTTTTTTTGGAGCCTGTGCACTTTCATAAACACCGCAGCTGTGTTGATTCTGTCGCTGAACTCAAGGCCACGAATAGTAACTGTTGGTTTTTCTTTGCCTCAGGGATGAATTCTGATGGATGGATATCTCTAAAGTGACCTCAGAAAGCTCATGAATGGGACTTATGACTGTAGATGGTCTGTATGGTTTTGGTTTTTGAACGGAAGCTTTGTCAGCAGATGTGCTTGTGAAGGCAAATTCTGCTTTAGCCGAGCTCATTGAGGAGGGATGGGGGAAAGGCTGTTTCTCCAGGAGCAGGAGCAGGAGCAGGGGGAGGCTCTCAGAGGCTGTGTCTGGGTCCAGTGAGTGGATCCAGATGAGTCCAGCTGTCTTCCTCTGAGAATAACACCTATTCACAGAGAATTCCCAAGGCAGACAGGAATACTTAAACCTTCACTAAAAAAATACCCTTTAATATTGACTACTCTGCCTAATGCTTGAAGAAAATAAGACACATGTAGTTCCAGAGCAGCGAGCTGTCCCCATTCATCCGAGTTTAATGCTGACAGTGTGTTCTCTTCCTGTCTTGCATCCACTAATTTAACCTCTGGTAGCAACACTGAGAACGTGGGGGTGAAGAAAAAATAAAAAAACCCCAGTTTTGAGTTTTCCCTGAGGGGCCCGTTCATCTCCTGCGGGCGCCGGGCCCCACGGGGGCTGGGGGGCTCGGGGGTCTGTTCTGGAAGAGTTGTGAGGGCGGAGCTGTCCCGGTACAGGAGGCGGTGCCCGGTAAATAAAGCGGTTTCTTGTAAATAAAGCG